CTCTAAGAAGCAGATAACCAGCGGGCAGATAATATAATAACCAGGAAGGCAAAGTCACTTGGTAGATGACAGAGCAGTAGAAAAGGCCCCGCAGAGATATCTGAATACCATTCCCCTAATAAACTCACAGCACCCACCAGACTAGCCGTGGGGCCACGGGTCAGAATCTGGGTTTTTTTAATGTAATAGACTGAGCGAACTCAACAGTGCACAAGAGACTAAAAACACGAGAAGCGAAAAATTCATGAATTTTACTTTCAAACAACAATAGTGGATAAAAACATTAATTACCAATTTCAACAAAATCTCCTAAGTCGCATGAGGTCGCAGGAGGTGTCCTGGGTGCCCAGGACGCGGCGGACGAGGCCCTGCCCACGGGAGCGACAGACACGCAGAGTGAGTGGCGGCGTGACGGGCAGTCACACCACACGAACCTGGCAGGAATGGGGCAGCAGGGCCTCGCAGGGCTGGTGCGTCTGGCGAGGCAACCTCCCAGGTATGGTCTCAAGGCCCAGAGGGACCCAGACACTCAGGGGTCAAGGGTGGGTGGGCGAGGGGGGTCCGGTCAGCTGTTCTGAGTGAGGCTCTGCGGCGCACGCAGCTCGGGCCCTGGAGGGAGCTCGGCCGAAACAAAACCCCGCGGAGGCGGCTGTGCCCCAGGGAGCTGCTCCACCTGCGGGGGGCGGGGCGGTGACCCCTGACCAAGGCCCCTGCCTCCAGCTGCACCTCTGCTCTCTGGCCGCGAACCGCGGGGTGACGGCTATCCAGCCCAACTCCACGTACCTGCTCACTTCAAGACCTCCCTGTCAGCAGGGCAGCAAGTCCTGAGGCCCCTAAATGGAGCTGAGCCCCCACAAAGTAGGGATTTCCAGGTGGAGCCAGCCCGGGAAACAGGCAAGCTCAAGGTTCTGAACGCAACTGAACAGTGAGCACGAATGGAGCAGACACTTCATCAAAGACCTACTCCTGACAAATCAGCATATGCAAAGGTGCGCAACAGCCTCAGTCCCCAGGGAAGGGCAAGATGTAACCCTGCGGAGGCCGTTACACACCCACTACAACTGCCGGCCAGCACCAGGTACCGCTAAGGACTCCGCACAAGAGCTCTCACGCGCTGCTGGCGGGCACGCAAACCCCACAGCCACTTGGGAAAATCGCTTGGCAGTTTCTAATACAGTATGTAGACTCCCACTCACGCCACACAAGCACCCTACTCCTAGGTCCTCGCAAGAGTGAGGCAAGCAGGGGCCTCTACTAGATGTCTACACGAAGGTTAGTAGCAAATGTGTGTGTATGTGTGTGTGTGTGTGTGTGTGTGTGTGTGTGTGTGAAGACCCACACTTGGAAACAGCCCAGGTATCCATCAACCGACGAATGGGTCACCACGCCGGGCACAGCAACATGGACAACAGAGTCCTACTCAGCAGCACCGCGTGATGACATGGACAAGGGTCTAAACACTAGGAGAAGGCACTCACGGAAGTGTACAATTCGTGTGAGTCCAAGTGCATGCATTTCTTAACAGGCGAAACTCTAGAGAGACAGAAAGCAGATCAGGACTTACAGGGGCACGGGGTGGGGACAGGGGCGCGGGGTGGGGACAGGGGTGCGGGGTGCGGACAGGGGGTTGACAGCAAAGGGAGCAGGGCAACTTTTCAGGGTGACGGAAACGCTCTCGATCATGATTCAAGTGGTTCATGTTGTCACAGTCCCAAGCACAGACGTCTAAACGAATCTCCCTGTGCACTTACAGTGGGTGCATTTTACGGTCCAGCCCCCAGACAAAGGCCGCAGGAAAAAGGACGGGGGTGGGGGGGCCAGAGCAGAATTGGGCACCGCCTACGGAAGGAACAGCAAAGCCTGGGGGCGGGGGCGGGGGGGGGGGGACTGAAACCCTGCTTCTGAATGGTCGGAAGGCCCAGACATCAGTGAGGCACAGGGACCGGCTAAAATCAGAGTCACGCTGCCCTGGCTCCGGAAGGTCAAGCACAGCCACATGACTATGCTCTGGCCCCACGGGACGGAAGCAGAGGCACTGCCAGCCGCTGCCAGGGAGGAGGTGTAAGAGGAGGGGCGTGCCCTCCACGCTCCCGCGGGTGGAGGGAAACGCGGTGCCGGGGCCGCGGGGGTGACGCCGAGCACAGGTGGCAGCCGCCTCACCGCCGGCGAGCTCGTGCCGGAGCCAGGGACACACACCTGTCCAGCAGATCCCGCTGGGCGGAGCCGCCACAACCGCGAGCGCTCCGCTCCACAGGCGACGTGTCAAGTGGCAGGAATAATATAAATATGACCGTAAACCAAAGACCTGGGGCAGACTCTATTTTCCACTGAAAAAGTAAGTTAAAAAAAGGTTAGATCTGCTTTTGTGTTGCAGAGATGGTTAAGCACAACCCCTGAGAACGACAATCAGAAACCAGTGTCTCAAGAAGACTACGTCCTGGGAAACAATCCTTCCTGCTGTGTGCCACAGTCTACAGCACTTCCGCTTTCACAACCCAGGGTTTCTGCTCAACACACTTCCGAAGCGCATGAGAGAGAGAGGAGCTGAGAGCAAACTGAGGACTGATGGGTGTGGGGGGAGGAGAGGATGGGCATGGAGGAGGCACTTGTGGAGATGAGCACTGGGTGTTCTATGGAAACCAACCTGACAATAAACTATTTGTTAAAAAAAATAATAATTTAAAAAGTAATTTAAAAAATAAATAAAAATAAAAGTGCGTTCGCTGGAGCAAGTAAGATGCAAAGTATTTCAAACTGTAAAAAAAAAACCCACTTTATTTTTATTTTTTTTTTATATATTTTTATTTATTTCTAGGAGAGAGAGAGAGAGACAGCATGAGCAGGGGAGGGTCAGAGAGAGAGGGAGTCACAGACCGAAACAGGCTCCAGGCTCTGAGCTGGCAGTCAGCACAGAGCCCGACGCGGGGCTCGAACCCACGAACCGCGAGATCATGACCTAAGCGAAAGTCGGACGCTCAACCGACTAAGCCACCCAGGCGCCCCAAAAAAAAACCCACTTTAAAGAGATGCTATTTGCAAAGGCAAAAAAACGTGGTAACCGAGGAAAAATCTAGTGAAACATACACAAGACTCTCACGAGACGAATGTCCCAAGCACACTGGGAGGGGCTCCAGACGGCCTAGGAGCTGGGGAGCGGGCACACTCATGGCGACGGAGACGGCTCATAAAGGCGTCCGTTCTCCCAATGTGATCCACAGATTCTGCGCAGCCCCAGCCACGAATCAGACAGACGGCAGAGACAAAAACGGAACGACACGCCCCGGGCGTCTGAGGGGGAGACTCGGTGGGAGCGCACAGGCCCGAGCCTGGCGAGGGACGAGGGCACCGGGGTCCCGGCAGCACCGGGACTCGGGACGCGGCTGAGGTCACCGGCAGGTGGGTGTTGAGGAAGACCCCTCGAATGCTGGGACAAGAGCGAGAACACAGATGCACGCACGCGGGCGTGAGGACGCTCGCCAGAAGGGACGCTGCAGACACGGGGAGACCAGCCGGAGGCCGTACAGGAGGCCGGCCCTGACGGGTCACTTCAGGGGCGAGCTCACTGGAGGCCTACCTCGTGCTGCACGCAGCCGGCAAGTACAGACGAACGAAACCCACGGGTGTGAAGGGCAAATGAGCAAAGCTTCATGTGACCCCGTGGGAGCGGAGCTGCACGCGGTATGTGTAGGAGATGTCTCAAAAGCACAGCGGTACCAGCCACAAAAGTAGGGACCGGGACATTCGGCCGTACTGAGACTGAGAACTTCCTTCCGGTCCTCACAGCCAGCCAGAAGGAAGCAAGAAGCGGCCAGAGACCAAGAGGACGCGTGTGCAACGCCGGCTGACAGTTTATAATCCCAAACATGTAAGATCGGCAGCCGGTAAAACCTAGATCAACCACCCACAAGAGAAATGGGCAAGAGACAGAGACACTCCCCGAAGAGAGGCCACGGAAATACTATCACAGAAAGAGATGCCCACTGCCACCAGTGGGCAGACGTGGAGAGGAAGAGCAGGAGCAGAAAGCCCGCCGGCACGAGAGCAAGGAGGGCGCGGGGAGTGGTCACGAGGCCTGATGAGGAGCCTGGACATGGGGCATGGACACGAGTTAGGAGGACACGGAGTGTGGACGCGGAGCATGGATGTGGAGGGTGGACACGGAGCGTGGACACAGATTGTGGACACAGAGCGGGGATGTGGAGCGTGGACGTGAAGCGTGGACACAGAGCGTGGACACAGACTGTGGACGTGAAGCGTGGACACGGAGTGTGGACACGGAGCATGGACACAGATTGTGGCAGCGCATGGACACAGATTGTGGATGAGGAGCATGGGACTCGAACCCCTGCAGGTGAGCGTCTGAGGGGCGCAGGTCACCCGGGAGCACACGGACACCAGCCTGACAGTCTCCCGGGCTCACCCCCTGCCTCCGGCACAACTGTCCTGTCTCCTCAACGCCCCAGAGAAGCGCCTGATCACAACACGTGAGACATGACACAGGCATCCGGCGACAGGAAAAAGCCACAGAAAGTGTCCAATATCTGAGTGATGGACCATCACCCAAGCGGACACACAGACGAGCAGAATCTCACAAAACGCCGCAGAGGGAAAGCACACGCTAGAGACAAGGGCACACGACACACACTGAGGTGGCGGGACCACAGAGTCAGGGGGCCGCTCGCATCCTGGGGGCCCTTCGAGGGCAGGGCAAGCACCGTGGGCAGCTCCAACACGGCGGGCCCGACATGAGTGGGGCTCCCCCCTCGCGCGGGAAGAATGAACAAGCACATGCTCCAGGCACACGTACCCATGTCTTCCGTCCGTGTCAGTACAACACACAAAACACAGATTCCTGTCCATGAGGACGTTTTCGAGGGCCACCCCCACGCACTGGGGGTCAAGCACCCCAGCCGCACAAACCACGTCACGAGTTTCATGGGCACCCGGCACCTAGACCCAGGGAGACTCTGTCCCCAGGAACTTCGGATCCCGGCTCTTACCTCTGTCACCTTGGGCTGGAGTATCAATGCTTCCGGACTCATTCGGGGGACGTCTATGTGGATCTGCGGACGCAAGGAGAGAGGGGAGAGGGTTATTCTGAAGGATGAGAAATGTCACCCACCGTAAGCGCTGTGGTCAGAGGAGCAACGCTCCACAGCAGGGATACGCTGACCTCGGACTCTAACCCGCTCCCGCCCTGGAACCAGCGACTCCTCAGGCCGCCTGCTGCTCCAGACGAGGGGCGGGTTCCAGGGTGCACGCCCCCCCAGGTCCCGGCGCGAGGGCCCGCTGACACTTCCCACGCAGAACGCTGCTGCTGCCTGATTAGGAAGAGAGCAGGCCCTCGGCTCTTTAGTAACATGATCCATAGCAATTAGTAGACATTGATTCCTGGCCTCTGACACGGGAGCAATTCAGGTACATCAATAGCGTACAAGTTTTCGGCTGTGACAGCTTCTTCTTGGCACCCAGGCCACACTTTTCTCCACTTCACGGAGTTCCGCGGGGACCCGGGGCACTCTTCCGGGGAAGCGCTTAAACTACTCTGCCGGTGCCGGCTGCCCCCTGCCTGAGCGCTGCCTGACCCGAGGGTCCTAACGAGCCTCCCACACCGCAGACGACACACCCACAGGTTCAAGCGGCAACGAGGAAGAAGAGGAAGAATCCTCGGGACGTGGGCAGGCACTGCGGGCTGGCTCCCGACGTCCCCCGGGCACAGCCTCCACTGGCCAGCGCTGTCACCATCCCCAGTGAGCAGGAAAAGGCGTGAAGGAAGGCAGACGCAGCGTACTGCCAAGGAGTCAACGCCAGGCTCGTTCCCGCCAGCACGTGCGTGACCACTAGACCAGGACAGCGTCCTCACTCTGCCCTGCGCGCGCTGCGGCCCGGGCGCCGTCCCTGAGGCCGGCCTCGCATCCTTGTCCAGAAGGCGCCTGCCGCGCCCCCCGGGGGCTTCCCCGGTGAAGGGCGCCGGGGCGGAGAGCATCCGGCCCCTGCGTGGAGCTCCTCCCTCAGCGAGAGCCTGGGCGCCGGGGAGGACCAGGGGGAGGACCGGAAGGGGCCAGAGCCAGCGGACTCGGCGTTCAGGGCGCACAGGGCAGGGGGCAGCAATGAAGGACAGCGGGCAGGGAGGTGAGAGAGCTGGGGAGCCGGCCCGGAGGACACTGTCAGCCCCAGGCCCCCTGAGCGACACGGGGAGGAAGAGACAAAGTGGAGACGTGAGCGTGACCTGCCGCCTGGAGCCCCGCGGGCAGTGGTGCCGAGAGGGAGGGGCGCGGTCCAGACAGGGGGCCAGACAACTCCAGCCCATCGCGTCCCCTGCGCCAGGGCACCCTCGAGGGCCACCCTCCAAACACAGCTCCCGTGGACGGGCCAGCAGGCACCGTACCTACGCCTGCTGTCATCTGTGCCGACGGGACAGAGCTGGACACACGGGGCTGTGTGTGCCCCCCGGGCCACCTGCTCCCCACGTAGGGGACTGAGGTGCGGGGGGGGGGGTCACAGCCGTCACAGAAATCCCAGGGTGGGGCGGACACACCGGATGAGTCTCTGATCTGAACAACTCTGTGTGCGCAGGACAGGACGTGTTCCAGCAGACACTGAAGCCGGTGCACAGAGGACACAGGGCTGTGGGAGCGGGCGGCGTGGGAGGGCGAGCAGGCCCCTCGAAGGGCCACAGGGAGATGCCAGGGCGCCCGGTGCTCCAAACTGGACCAGGCTCTGCCCCAACCGAGTCAGGAGTCGGAGGTGGCCGCAGAGGAAAGCACGGTGTCCACCCCCAGGAGGTGGGCCTGCCTGGCAGCAAAGGGAGCCCACATCACTGCCATGGGTCACGGTATCCCCCCAACGTTACCGTAGAAACATCTGGGGAATTCACAACAATATGCAAGCTTTTTATTACCTATCACAGTAACTGAATAAAGATGCACGCGACCTGTTTTTAATTAACTTTCCCTCAAGAAATTCATAATAGAACACAGTTTGGTAAATCTCACAGATAGATGCTAGGTGTCATCCTGTGGAAGTCTTTGCCTTGAATAAAAATTCATCAGAAACACATTCAAGACAATACCAAATGGACCATCAGCTAAAATCAGTGAAGTGGAAAGATACACCAGCTAAGCTACTACTCGCCCGACCAAATCCAAATGTGATCTCTCTTAAATCCGCTTCCCAGAGTGCCGGGCAGCAGCCCCCCAGGTAGGGGGGCCAGAGGCAGGGGCCCCGCCCCAGAAGGCAGGGGAGGCAGGCTCCGGCCCCTCCTCCCGGCCCTCCCTCTCACGCGCCCCTACCATATCCCCCCATGAGGAAAATACTCTCCAAAAACCCATCCCCTTAAAGAACCGTGGGTTATTAGCCAGAGGGAAGGCCTATCTTGGGACCTTTATAACAGATCGCCACCAAAGCAACAAAGAGGTGTGGGGAGCCCATATCGGAGGCAGAAAATTCGGCAAGGCTCCTTCACCGGGAAGTGGGGTTTCCAGAAGTGCTCAGTACTGACATCTCTCAGGCAAGTCAGGACGCAGGGCTACCAACTAAGAACTGCCTCTTGTTTAGGTGCAGCACGGGAATGAATGAATGAATGGAATGAATGAATGAATGAATGAATGAAGGCAGCACAAACCACTCTGAATTTTCACACGTTACAAAGACAGTAAGAATGATCAAGTCCTCAAAGAGCTTTTCTAACAGCAAATTCTGCATGTACTGTGAGCTGTAAATCAATTTTAAGTATTCTTCCCATTATACACACTGTCAACTGTTGAAGAAGCCATAATTACACACATTTTGTGTCAAACGAGAGAGCAGAAATGATACACTGGCTACACGTTTTGCTGTGGACTGAACTGCCCCCCAAATCCAGCTGACCAGTCAGCTCTGGTCCACCCACACCGCACCTCTGTGTGCCCCCGAGAGTCCAGGGCCCACGAAGCCCACAGACTCTCCTCCTCCCGGCAGACGGCGACAGGCCTGCCCGGGGCCTGCGGGGCCGACAGCAGCTCACTGACACAAGAAACGCAGGGCAGCTCCCGAGGAAGGTCTCGGGGCACCGCCAGGGGACCCCGGGCACCTGCTCTGTGACCCCAATTAAACACACCCCCGTCACTGCCACAGAAAGAAGTGGAGGTGAGCAAAGGGGCACAGGAGGAAGCAGCAGGGACACACCGTTATCTACTCGTGTCCCGGCAAACGCCGATCTGTGGCCCAGTTAGGGACGCGTCACAGGGAACAGCTCCTCCCACAAACCGTCACCGAGCCGGGGCTTCTCGAGGGACGCGGGGCAAGGGACAGGCACCCACCTGCCTGTAGGTGTCCTGGTGCGCATCGTCATGCCGCGAGTCGTAATAGTGCTCAACGAACGCGAAGTACTCTCTCTGCTTTCTCTGGAGCGTGGCTGGTCTTCGGTCCACGTTGGCAGGAAGGTAACCCTGGGGGTGAAAGAACAGAGACAAAAAGTGCGCGTGGTTAATGTGGACTCACAAAGTCTGGAACACAGAGGGGCCTGTCGTAAGTGGGCGTGGTGCCCTGAGACTGGACAGGGCAATAAACGGACACGGACATCAAGCACGGCAGGAAGCCAGTCTCCGGGGCACCAAAGGGCGGCTTGGACTTGCACGCCCACAGCCTTCACCGAGCCAGTCGGACTCGACTCGTGGCCACAGAAGCGGGAGGCAGACCGGAGCCAGGCTTGAACTTCGTGCTCTCCAAGGGCAGGATGGAGATGAACCCCTGGTTCTAAATGCCTCGTGTGCCTCAACAAATTCAGAAGTTGGCGCGGTCTTGTGACCACGGTACCTGTGTGTGTATGTGTACGCTCCTACATACACACATGTACACAGGTGTGCAGGTGTGTGTGTGTGTGCGCGCACACACACACACACACACACACACACACAGACGCACATGCGGAGAGATCGTCCCTTATGCAAATGTCTTCCTCTCTCCAAAGACTCCTGGGCGACTGGCAGCTGCCATCCCAGGACATGAAGTGAACTCAAATCCAGAAGGACCAGAAGGACCAGGCAGCTCAGCGTGCTTACCAAGAGCCCAGTCTCCAGGGCCAGACTGCTTGGTGTCATATATGCTTTTTATTTCTTTGTTTTTACTTTATTAAATGTTAGTTTATTTACTTATTTGGAGAGAGAGAGCACAAGCAGGGGAGGAGCAGAGACAGAGGGAGAAGGAGGGGGAGAGACTCCCAAGCAGGCTCCACACTGTCACTGCAGAGCCTGATGCAGGGCCTGAACCCACAAACCATAAGATCCTGACCTGAGCCAAAATCAAGATTCAGAACCTTAACCAACTGAGCCACCCAGGCACCCCTCTTTGCTTCTACTCTTTAAATCCACATTAGTGATATGTCACGTATAACATAAAATGTGCCTCTTTTAAGTAAACAGTTCCATGACATTTGACAAAGGTACACAGCTGGGTAACTAGGGCCCCAGCGAAGATATGGAGAATTTCTATCACCCCAAAACCTTCCCCCATGCCCTCAGCAGTCCAGCCCCCCTCAACCAGGAGAGCCCAGGGAGCCGCACACCCCCTCACCGCGGATCGCCGAGGCCCAGCCAAGAACTTCGCACGAATGGAATCATTTTGGGACGCACTCTTTGTTTTCACTCAATCTGTTGTCCCTGTGACACTTCCAAACTGATGCGTAAACTGGCAGTCTGCTCCTCTGATCGTTGCGCCATATTCCTCTGAACCGAGGAGCCACAGTTTGCCGGCCACGCGCCTGCTGCAGAGCACCTGGGCTGGTTCTGGTTTGGAGCTATTATGAATAAGGCTTATTACAAATATTCCTGTACACGGTTTTTATGGCTATGAACTTCCACTTCTACACCTAGGAGTAGAGGAGCAGCTCATCACGTACGTACGTGCTTAGTTTCCTAAGAAACTGCCAGACATTTTACAAGCAACAACGTGGATTCACACCCCAGCCAAGAGTACAATAACTTCAGATGCTCCACGCCCTCCCTGATACTTAGTGTTGTCAGTCTTTATTTATGTGGGGGGAGGGGCAGAGAGAGAGGGAGACACAGAATCCGAAGCAGCTCCAGGGTCCGGGCTGTCGGCACAGAGCCTGATGCAGGACCTGAACCCATGGACCATGAGATCAGGACCAGAGCCAAAGTCAGGTGCTTCACCGACTGAGACACTCAGGCGCCCCGTATTGTCCGTCTTTTTTTTTTTTTTTAATGTTTTTTTATTTATTTCTGAGAGAGAGAGAGACCGCGTGAGCAGGGGAAGATCTCAGAGAGAGAGGGAGACACAGAATCCGAAACAGGCTTCAGGCTCTGAGCTGTCAGCACAGAGCACGACGTAGGGCTCAAACCCATGAACCGTGAGATCATGACCTGAGCCGAAGTCGGTCGCTTAACCGACTAAGCCACCCAGGTGCCCCATGTCCGTCTTTAAATGTTAGCATTCTGGGCATTCCCAGCTGGCTCAACCAGAGCATGTGCCTCTTGATCTCAGAGTTGGGAGTTCAAGCCAACTCAGTAGAGTTGCTCAGTCGCTCAGTAGAGACATCACTTTAAAAAAAATAATAATAAAATCTTAAAAACATAAATATCAGCCATTCTACTGAGTGGCTTTAATTGCACATCCCTGATGATTAATGATGTTGACCATCTTGTCATGTACCCGTCCGCCACCGCTTCTCTTCTTTGGCGAAGTGTCTGTTCCAATCTTTTGCCCATTTTGTAAATCAGGGTGTTTGTCTTCCTAGTGAGTTTTATGGTTCTGTGTTTCTGAAAGCGAATACATGTTAAGATTATATTCTCCTAATCTGGGGCCTGCCTTTTTGTCTCAAACAGCAGAAGCTTTAAATTTCCATGAAATCCAACCTGTAAAGTTTTTCTTTTATATTTAGTGCTGCTTCTGTCCTACACAGGAAAGACTTTCTCCCTGTTTCTTCCCTGGGTGTTCTCAAGCTTCACCCGCCTACCTCCTGCTCATCCCCCCAGCGTCTCTCGGACGGTGCTCCTTCAGGACACCTGACCCAACCCCCGAGGCCGGGCTGGTCCCTCAGAGCTCCAGCCGCTCCTGGCATGAGGCCCCCCGGGGCCAGCACCTCACTGCGCCAGCCACACGGCGGCCAAATTTTTATTAAGTGAATTCATGTACGAGCAAGGGAACAAATATATCCCCATGGTATTTTCCGCCTTTTAAAATGCTCCCACATCTGCAGTGGACCTCACTGCGCCTGCTGCTGAACATCTCTACCTCCCTTGTTCCTCAGAGCCCTGGCGGTCCTCCGGGAACCACACGTCCCTGCTCTCAACCCACAGTCCCCTTCCTTCAGGACTGTTCCTGAGGGGCCACCGCTCTGGCCACAGGGGCTGACAAGCTCCGAGGCAGAGAGGGGACCCAAAGCAGGCACAAAAGTCAAGCCCCGCGGCTTTTCTTTGTTGCTGCCTGTGAATCAGGCAGAATGTGCAGAGTTTGGAGCTGTGGCAGCCGCCCTGTGACCATGTGGGAGAGCCACGGGCTGCGGGTCCACCCTGAAGAGCTGACCTGCAGGAGAGCGGAGCTCAGAGAGTCACCGGCCTTGATGAGGTCGGCCTGAATCGGCCAGGTCTTCTCAGCTGTGCGAGCGCGTCGATCCTCTGCTTCTCCAAGGCATTTCCAGGAGCGCTGATTCTCCTGCACACGTTTGCTTTCACACACTGGGGTCATACTGTTACGCCTCTTGTCCAGAAACACACACTGAAGTATAACGTGTGAGCACACACTCATCCCAACAGAAGGAGGCATTACCACGAACCAAACACGGCTCAAGGCCCCGGGGAGCCTCCTCACCACTGTCCTCCACCTCCTCCCTGGAGCTAAGTCCCTGACTTCTAACATGGAGTAAACGTTGCCAATTTCTGAACTTTCTGTAAATGAAATCATGTTTTCGGTCTGGCTGCTTACACTCAGTGTTACATCTGAAGAGCTCATTCATGTCTGGAAAGTGGCTGACCCTCACTGTTGTGTGCCCCTCACTGTTGTGTGCCCCTCACTGTTGTGTGCTCCCGTTAGCAGGCGCCTATCTGGACTGCTCCCACTCTGTGCTCTCAACGTGCTTGTCCCTGCCCTTCAAGGCCCACGACATGCATTCTGCTGGGTATTTACCAAGGAGGACCCTGCCTCTGCCCAGGGTCCACAGCCCTGCTGCAGGGTTTTCCAAAGTGATCCCACTTGCACTGGAGGTACGTGCAAGTGTCCACTGTTCTACATCCTTGCCAACACTTGGTGTTGCCAACTTTATTCATTTCAGCCGTCCCAATGGGCCTGCGGTGGTCTCTGTCAGAAGGTGGCTTCAGGACGCCTGAGGGGCTCAGTCAGTTAACTGTCTCGCTCTGGACTTCAGCTCAGGTCATGATCTAGAGGTTCATGGGTTCAAGCTCGTCAGGCTCTGTGCCGAGCAGAGCCTGGCTGGGATTCTCTGTCTCTCTCTCCCTCTGCCCCTCTGACGCTCATGCACATGTGCTCACACTCTCTCTCTCTCTCTCTTTCTCTCAAAATAAATAAACTTTAGAAAAAGAAGACGGTAGCTTCACTCTGCATTTAGCAGAAGGCGGATGGAGCTGTTGCACCTGTGAAATGCGTGCACAAGCGTGGCTGCGTTTTCCGCGGGGTCTTACTCGTGTGCAGGCGCAGCACACCGTGTCCCCTGGGAGTCTCTCCTCCTGCCTGCGCTTTGCCTCTTCTCCCCACTAACGACGTCTCTGGATGAAGGCAAGTTCGTGGCTTGAATGTGGTCCCATTTATTAATCCTTCATTAGTCCTTCTCCCATCCTTTGTAAGAAAATGTCCTTTCTCCAACCGGCTGTGCTTCCACATCTCACTCTGAAATCATGACCGTGTCCCCACTGTCATTAAGCAATGGCCTTGGGCGGGGCCGGCGCAGGACAGCGCACTGCGGACCGCTGTGAACAAGGCTGGGCTGACACGCGGCCGCGCCTCCTCGGGAACGAACCGTGCGCGGCTGCCGTCGCTGTACATAGGCAGAGCCGAGCAGTCACCAGGCACTGAAATCTGTCCTGCAACACCGCTACCCAGCCCCTTCCAGAAAGTCTGCCAACCCGAAGGCCTTCCGCCACAGGTACTTCTATTTGCACGTGTTTATGCTCAACCTTCCCCGCTTCTGAACATCGTGACAATCTTTTCCTCGTCTGGTATTCTAAAGTACATGGCAGTCAGCCACGTCTGACTTCTTCCTGAGGCAAAATCCCCGAAAGTGAGCTGTTCGTTCAAGGCCACGCTGGATGCACTGAAGGCTCCTGATGCTTCTCCCCAAGCAACCCGCCAGGAAGGGCAGCAGTTTCCGTTCCAGGAGCCCTGCCCCTCCCCACCTTCTGCAGCAGGAGGAGAGGCCCCCCTGAGGAGCACCTGCCTCAACTGTAGCAAGTCGGGGAGGGGCACGTTCACCAGAGGG